GAATAGAAGAAGAACATTAACGCCGATGAAGTCGTGTCGTGTCCGGCAAATATAAATGTGAGCACCTCCTCGCGGATATCCGTGTTCGATAGCGGTTTTCCGTCGTCTGACGAACGCAGCAAAATATCCAAGAAGGCCTCTTTGCGCTTTATGCCAATAGAAAGTTGCTCTTCTTTGCCTTTGTGTTGCTCTTGCGGTGCTTGCATCAATTCTGTGCGTCGCTCAAGAATCACCTGCTCTGCGAAGTCGTCTAAGATGGCGAGGGCGCGTTTAGCTTCTCTCCCCTCCGGTGTGAAACGAAAAACGAAATCGAAGTAATATTTGATATTGAACATGCGAAGGTGAAGAATTGTCGTCAAGCTGCAAAAAGTTTAGAAGATCATACATGAAGGAAAAGGTGGACCAAGAAACATTTGAGAAAAAATAAACACGCACACAGATGACTCGCGAGTCAGACGCACCGTCTATGGCGCCTGTTATAAACACAATCAAAGCGAAGGCCAAAAATATTGTACATAGAAAGCCATGCGTTGGGCCTCTTGATGACATTTCACTGAATCCAAATATGGGCATTTTCTTCGGATAGGCAAACAATTATTTAGTCTATGCGTTCTTTAGCTTGTTGTTGTTCTAGCGGCTACAACAACCCCGCCCAGATCGGCTAGTCCGTCAATCGTTGTCGTCAAGCTCAACTAACTGGAGACCTAAGAAGCGTGCAGCTTCTATAAGTCCGTCCATAGGGACAGAGGCGTTAGTTGAGTGGGGTTTAGTGGGCATGCGAAGAGACGTCTCGAATCGTGGGGTGTCATTTCGCATGCCGGGCACTCGTTGGGCACATCCGCATCTAATCTGCTCAGGTACGAGTTTAAACTGCTGCAGTAGCCAGAGCGAAGTTGAGCTATTATGGTCCGAGTATACCGAGGCTGCCGACTAGCGACTTGAGGACCTTGTTGCGGGTGTGTACTTTATTTACAATTACGGCTGCCGTGAAGGAGAGACGACTGTCGACGGTAACTCCGAGGATTTTGGGGTTATTCACGGTTGGAATTGGTTCGCTGTCGACGTGAATACCCAGCTGCAGTCTGACCTCCTTCGTCCAGATGGTGAAAAGGGTTGCCGTGGATTTTGTTGGGGAGAGGGTTAGGCGCCTTGCAGTGAAGAAGCGAGAAAGCTCCGCGAGGTAACCGTTTACTTTCGAGCACAAGTCATCAAATCCATTCCCAGAGGCCGTTATCGAGCAGTTGTCAGCATAAGAGACAATCGAGACTCCCTCTGGTCGTTGAGGGAGCTTAGAAATATAAAAGTTAAATAGTAGTGGGTAAAGGACCCCCGGTTTGATTTGTGGGTTTGCTTGATTTGACGGTTTGACGGTTTCCCCGGTTTGAGTAGTGGGACCACTCTCCCCATTTTCCGGATATCTGGAATGAGGAGAGTGGCCATTGACAGGTTGACGACCTTGGTGATGTAATCTACTCCCGGAGGATCCAAATTTTTCATCATCAGTATGCATATTTATTCTGCTAGGTCCCTGGCTTTGGAGGCTTTCGCCTTCTCGATGGCTACCTGAACCTCACCGCTGGTGAAAGCACCTGGTATTGGCAGTTGGTGCAGCCTTCTAATCACTCGATTTTTGGAACTGTAGCTAAAATAACTCACGCATCGCTCCGGATCCGACGAGGCGCGGTAGCCGAAAGAGATTTCGATTCTGTCGTGGCGTTTCGTCGGGTTGGACAATGACCTCATGGTTGACCAAGGCTTACTCACACCAGAGGTGAAGTTGCAAGTCGTCAGACGCTCTTCCCACTTCACCCGCTCATGTACGTTCACAAGCTGCCGAATCTCCATATTGAGATCCCTAATGCGGGGATTTCCGGGATCGATGCGTCTGAGAGACAACATGTCAGTAGAACTACGATATTTAGTCAATGAGTCGCAGAAGGTTAAGTTACCAGAACGTGGTTTTCCCAGTAGCTCAGGGAACTCTCGGTCTGCTTGTCTTTCGTAATTGCGCTGTTTGGTCTGTTCAGACTGCATTCATAGCCGGAGTAAGGTGTCGGCTCTGGATGCTATTCTGGTCACCTAAGCTTTCGGCATTGCCATTGAAGCAACGGAATTTCGAGAAAGTTCTAAGACCACTCTGCCACTAGGTTTCTTACTTCGACCATTCCATCTTACAAACCTCATTTCGGAAAGTCAATAAACTCGTTGTTCACTGTGATTGCATTTACACTAGTGACTTTTACATATTTCTATACTAACTCACCTTCTCAGTGCTCTTACATATTCCGAGTCTTCATTGCGTTGCGCTTGCGTATGCACACCCATTGCTGTGTCTGCGAAGACATCAACGAGCAAAAGGCCACACATGATTCAATATTTTCACTCACTCCGCTTCCACACAATCACTTACCACAAATTGTATCCAACATACAGAGACCCACCGTATGCAGCAGCTCAAACGACCGCCTTTCAGCACATATCTTTCTCATTTGCTCCACCAACACCCCGGAATGCTCGTGAAAGCTGTTCAAAAAACCTTCCATCATCTTGAAGTGGAATGCAGGTGTTACGAGCTTTCGTCGTTGTTGGTATTTGCGTCCATTCGACAGTAGCAGACCATCACGCAGCCAGTCTTTCAAGAAGCGATATTGATCTGATTTTGTGGTAAACTTTGGGGAGCTGAGCAAAATTTCAATATCGCGGAAATCGTGCATCATAATATTGAGATCGAGGCCCAACCAAAGGCGGAATGTTTTTCCATATTCATTGATCATCGCCAGGAGGCGGCTGATAAATTCGTCTGGCTGAATGTCTAGGAAGAGTAGCGCATTGCCAATGATGGGCAGCGCTGGTGGTCCGCGAAATCGGCGGCCTAATGAGTATCGACGTCCATAATTGGCATAGACGTAGGTGAGTAGTGCGACTAGCGTGCTGACTACTATTACGGCGATAATGGTAAACATCCTTTGGTATTTTTTGTTTGTGGTTTATTTTATTAAAATTTGATTAATCACTAAGAAATAAAAATTAAACTTTAAATATAACGCCAACCAAACGCTTTGAATAGCAACAAATTACTGTTAGCGGGTAGTGTTCGCGCCGAAGCTTTTATACTTGTTTCTGGACATTCTCGACCTACATACACTGCCGGACAAAAGTATGGGCACAGAGAAATTTTCGCAATACATGCAAAGCTTTTTATTCTAATTTATTTTCGATATTTTTTAATAAAAATATAGTTCGTACTTTTGCAAACTTTGTGCAAAACTCAGAAAAATTCAATAAACTTTCTATTCAGATTTTTTAGAAAAAATCAGTTTTATAGCCCATTCAATTTTAATATAACAAAGTGCAAGTTCGAAGTATCTAAAAAAAACCCCTGGAATTTGTGGCAATTTCTCCATACAAAAAATAATTGTCGAACACACATTGTATGGAACAATCTGAGTGAAAAAAATTGCAAAAAATTAATGCGAATTTTTAGCAACTTCAAACTTGCACTTTGTTATACTAAAATTGAATGGGCAGTTTTATAGCATACTTGGAACTTTTCTAAAAAATCTGAACAGAAAGTTGCAAATTAGTATGCAAATTTGTTGAATTTTCTTGAGTTTTGTACAAAGCTTAGAGATTTTTTTTATACAGTTTTTGGCGAAGTACGAACTACATATATTTTTATAAAAAATTATCGAAAATAAATTAGAATAAAAAACTTTTATCCGACACTGTACATATATATATATATATGTGTACGACCTGTACAAACATGTGTGCCAATACTTTTGTCTGGCACTGTACATACAAATATGTACGCATAACAGTCCACATACATACATATCGTCGATGTTTTTGCAACACCGCCTATCTTACGGCACTCAAATTTTACAGGAAAGCGAAAAAACGCTTTATTCTTTGAAGGCATTGCCTTGATAGGTGGTATTTTGTCTGGCTATTATTTTACAAATCTGTTGTTTTAATAACGATTTAATGATTTTTATGCATAAATCTCGATGCCTGGAGTTCAGGGTTACCAAATCTCATTTTTGCCACAACGGCGATTTAAGCGGTTTTGCAAGTGGTCGAGGGGCGGTTTTGGAAAAACATCGACGATATGTACATTAGACTGCATCACCAAAAAAGTTGCCTTTTTACCGTCGGGATTACAATCTTTGAAAAATTTCAAAAACAGCATACAAATCTCATTATTATGATTTCTTAGATTTTTTTTTTTATCTTTATGCGAATTTTTTACTTATATCCATATATACATATAAACTCCACCAATGTAGAATAATCTCGATTTGAGAGATTATTTACTAATAAATATTATTAAACTCAAGTTCTGTATAATAACATACGTGCATACAAAATACTACGTGAATATCGATGCTCAAAGTACATACATACTTAAGCGGCTTACAGTCGGAATATCGCTTGCAAAGGTAATCTGGTTAATAAATAGAACAAATGTTGGATGTTAGAGCTTAGAGTAACTATAGAGAATACAATGGGCCTCATGCATGATGAGTGGGCTT